AGAAGAGACGGGAGGGAGCAAGGAGAGAAGAGATAAGAAGAGGAGGACGGCGGAAGGAGGGCGGCGGAAGGAGGGCGGCGGAAGGAGGGCAACGGGAGGAGGGCGATGGGAGGAGGGCGACGAGAGGAGGGCGATGGGAGGAGGGCGACGGGAGGAGGCTGGGCTGCTTGAGAGAGAAGAAAAGAATGAGTTTTCAAAATTAGAGGGTTTGGTCTTTTTTTAGGTCAAAAATAGGAAGGTTAGGTAGATTTAATTTGAGCCATTGGATTAGTTAAGATGAGCGGCTAGGATTTGATCTAGGATTCACTTAAAGGATGGACGGTTAAGATTTAAACTAATGTTTCAAGATTTGGACAAAAAGGGTTATAATTGCAATGAATGAATGGCTAAAATTGCAACTAAAATTGATATAAGAGGCTATAATTGAAAATCGAAATTGGATTGAGGTGGCTAGAATTGCAATGAATTGAATAAGGAAAAAGCTAAAATTGAAAGGAATTAGATTAGAATGGGCTAAAAATTAAATGATTTCGAGAAAAATTAAAGAAATGTTATCCAATTAAAATACTACAAATATTATAACATTTTATATAATAAAAAACACTTAAATTTTAAAACATTTGAATAAAATAATTATTCTGAGTTTTACTTATAATTTTAAAAATATTTTAATAATATTTACAATAATTTTATAAAGCATGCAAACTAAAATATATAATTTTTAGACAAAATCGATTAAAAATTTAAACTCGGAATATTTTAAAAAAAAACACGTATTTAACCAAATAACACTTCTGAAAGGGTTATAGGTCTGTCAAAATTGGGTGTCAACATACCGACATCGTGAAGTCGATATTATCTAAATAAAATAATTATTTAAATATGCCGACCTCTTTAGGTCGGTATTTATTAATTTATTTTAATATAAACTTACCTTTTGAGGTTGATTTTATTAATTAAAATTACATATACATATACAAATACATACATACGTACATACATATGTATATACATATATATATACATATATATATATATATATATATATATATATGTATATATATATATATATATATATGTATATATATAGGCCAAACACATATACAGCCCCTCAAACTTGTCCTCATTTTTCATTCTGGCACTCCAACTTAGTCTTGTTCCATTTTAACCCTTAAACTCCATTTTTTATGTACCATTTAAACACTTATACTAATTTTTATGATTTGTTTTTATTTATGTTCTTCAATTGCAATTTCTTATTTTAAAAAAATTAAACATTCGCGAACGAACATAAAAAATTTCAAACAATAATATTATTTTTTTATATTTCTCTGTATTTTTGCATGAAAATAAATTGACGAAAGTTCTTTTATTTTCTTTCTTAAACATTCAATCAAATTAAATAACACTACTTATTTATTTTTTCTTATCATCTAGGCTATCTAAATTTAACGCAAATACTCACTTTTAATTTTTAATATAAATCAATACGAATAAAAAAACCCATCTTCAAAAAGACTCGACTGACTTAGTTAATAACACTACTAAAAAAAGACTCTTGTTCATTGCTAATAACACTACTAAACAATGTTAAAACTCGACTGACTTTGTTAGGTTGTCAGTGATTTTAAAGAAAGAAAACCAACACAATTTCGTCGGTTATTTTTCACACAAAAATACATAACACTCTTAAAAATAAATTATTATTTTTTAAAAAGAATTATTTTTTGTTAATTTTTAATTTTTTAACTAAAATTAAATGACACATGTCGATTTAAAATAAGAAGTTGCAATTGAAGAATATATATATAAATAAATAAATCATAAAAATAGTATTTCGTGTTAAAATGGAACATAAAAAATGGAGTTCAAGGGTTAAAATGGAACAAGGCTAAGATAAAGTGCCAAAATGAAAAATGTGGACAAGTTAGAGGGGTTGTATATATATATATATATATATATATATATATATAATTTAACTACACATCAACAAAAGTTTAATTTAATAAATTTAATTTATCGATCAAGTTAATTTTATAAATTTAAATTATATACCTTCTAATTATATAAATTTAATTTTATTGATCAACAAAAGTTTATCAATATCAAATTTAATATATAAATCTCCTTGAATTGATAATCGGTATTTCTTTAATTGATAATGTATTTCATATTTGAACCACTAGTATATAAGACTTGATTTGTTAAACTACTCGAGGAATATATATATAATTAATCAACGTATTTCATACTCCGATGAAGTATCCTTTACATGTCATCATAATTAAGAGGTGATCACTACACTTGACATCCATTCAAGATCGAACGTATATAATAATACTATCTCGCATTTCATACTGGAATGGATTATATGTTAGCTCTTCACCTCTACTACATCATGACATGAGATATTAAGTTTATGATTAGACGACGGACTGATAGGATTTGTACATTACTCTATAAATATAAGTATAATTATCTCCTAATTGATATCAACGTAGTTTCATACTCTAAATATCGATTATAGATATTTATTTATTTATTTCACGAATTCTAACATTTTATTTGTAAAAGTATACAAAATTGTACTTTTTGAACAATTAATCGTAGGTGTAAAATGAAATTTTAATATTATGCACAATAGCAAAATTATGATTAATAGGAATATTTTAAACATACCGACCTCCGGATGTCGCTTTTATTAAAAGTAATTAGATATAATAAAAAATACTGACCTCATGAGGTCGGTATCACATTAAATTTTAAGATAAATAAAAAGTAATCATGTTAATTAAATAATATTGACATCGGGGGGTCGGTATTTTATATTAAATTATTTTTTAACTTATATAAAATCGTCATTCGGAGGACGATTTATTTAAAGTTAATTGAAAATATTAATTTATTACATACTATTTAATTTTACCGACATCTGAAAGTCGGTATTATAATTTTTTTTGTTTTTTATTTTACACAAAACCATTCTCCGGAAGACGATTTAAATAAAATTAAATCAAAATATTTCTCAATTTTGTTTTTTATATGGAGAAATGGGGAAAATCGTGTCTGCTAGTGCAGATATTTTTAAAAAAGCGACGGACAACGTCTCTATGTCCGTCGCTTTTTTAAAAAAATGTTTGACCAACATTTTGACCAAAAAGCGACAGACTAAGAGACATTGTCCATCGCTTTCTTAAAATATTTGACCAGATATTTTGACCAAGAAGCGACGGACATAAAGATGTTGTCCGTCGCTAATTTAAAAAATAATTAAACAATTAAAATTAATAAAAAGCAACGGACGGCGTGACTTTTTTTAAATTAATAAATAATTATTTTTAATAAAAAGTGACGGATTGCGTCACTATCTATAAAAAATAATTAATTAGCAAAAATACGCGAAAAAAGCGACGGACTAAGCGATGCCGTCCGTCGCTTTTAAAAAAATAAATAAATAAATATTTTAATTAAAAAGCGACGGACTAAGAGACGCTGTTCCTCGCTTTTTAAAAATGTTTGACTAGATATTTTGACCAAAAATCGACGGACTAAGAGATGTCGTCCATCGCTTTTTTAAAAACTAATTAATAAAATAAAATAAATTAAAACGACGGATAGCGTGGTTATTGTTTAATTTATAAATAATTATTTTTAATAAAAAGCGACGGACGACGTCTCTATATATATTAAATAAATTATTATTAATTATATATATTTAGCGCAAAAATCCGTAAAAAAAGCGACGGACTAAGAGATGCAGTCCGTCACTTTTTGTAAAATAATTATAAAAATAATTATTTTAATTAAAAAGCGACGGACGGCATCTCTTAGTCCGTCGCTTTTTTGGAGCGACGTTGTCTGTCGCTTTTTAGCAGTTTTTAAGTAGTGAACGCCAAAGAATTCCACAACTTTGTTTACAAGTTAGGTAATATCTATATCAGAAGCAAAAAAATTATAAGGAAACTATTTATCCGAAGCTACGACATCCAGCAAAAATTTATGCATGCACAAGCAAAACATGAGAATCGAGGAATCAGATATGCATTCTTAACTTGCATCCAGCTAGGAGATCAAGAGAACGCACGGGAGTAACTTGGTTTTCTCCTCTTTTGCTTCAACTACAGGAAGAAGGAGGTCACACAAGGTATGGGAGAAAATAGTTACTTACAAGGATCTTCAAAGCTGGAATGCAGGGTTCATACTCTTTTCCGAGCTCAGCAAGAGCTCATACATCCAAACCGGGTAGTACACCTACAAGATGAGATAAATCAACAGAGAAATAAAAAGAAAAAAAAAGATTTGAGAAGAAAATGGAAAAGTACCTTTGAAAGATGATTTTGATAGTATAAGAGAAGACTAGCGATGTAGTATGTTGATCATCCATAGGAGGAGGAGGCGAAGACCACTATTGGGGCTCACAAGGTGGAGCATCTTCAGAGAGGCGAAAGGGTTAGGGAAAGAAGAAGCTGAAGACTCACTTAGGAAACCCTATTTCTTAGGGTCTTGTTATATCCTGATTTGGTCACTTTTTGGGCGACTAGGTTTTCTTTTGTTGTTTGGTAGTGGATGAGCCCAATGATTTGAAGGAATAAAGGACCTAGAGTCCAAATCAACTTTTAAAAAAAATAGGAGGAATACTAATTGTGATAGAACTAGGTGTTGTAATAGTGTGATTATTCATGTTGATTATTGACGCTTAACTTATGTTGAATTTTTTTTTTAAAATGGTGACTATATTTTTTTCTAATAATTATTTTTATTATAGTAATTTATATATGTAGGTTCATTTTATTTTTATCAAACTTAAAATATTTATTTATAAATTCAAATATCTTAATATTTTAAAAAATGACGATTTTTTAAATGTTTTCTTAATGTAATATTTAATATATATTGTGTTTATGTATTTAAAAAATTATATATATAACAAATGTTAATTATTGAGATGATGTTAATGAAAACAAGCAGGCCTAAACCTGAAAAGTTGATTGATAGCTTAAAGTTAAATTTTGTGATCGAAGGCGATTACGTATAGCGTGAACCCTAATTGAAAGATTTATCTGTTTTTCGGGGTAGAAGAAGATGTACGGTTCCACCGAAGATGCAGAGCGAACCGCTTTCAGGAAGGCTGAAAAGAAATACAAGCTGTATTACGACAATACCCGAAAGTAAGTTTCTTATAGAATAGTTCCATCTCTTTTACGTTAATGGCAATTGGCACACTAATCTGTTCTTCTTGTTGTTGTTCAACTCAGGAAAAAGCAACCCAGACCAGTAGATTTGTCCGACGTTATTGATTTCAAGTCAATTTCAGAGTCTTACCATAGAAATGGTGAACTTCCCTCAGGCATTTTCCCAATTCAATGCGATCTCCATACTCCTATCTTCTGCTTGGAAACTCATCCCGGTATGCCTTATCATGTTATTATTGCACAATTTCCATTCGACTTGACTTGTATATCAAGAATTTCTATTTCAACTTGGAAACTATTTGATCAGTAAACAATTCAAGGTCTTTTTATCAAAAAGATCTGACCTTTGACAGTTGTTTGGATGGTTGTATTGTATTGTTTTAATGAATACGATGTTTGGATAGATTGCATCGTTCTATGTCGTTACATAATGTCACACATTCATAATTTGAACGATAAACCTACAAGAAAGTAGACTACAGGTAGAGCTACTATCAAAAAGTAGGCTAAAAGATGAAATATAATTATTAAATAATAAATAAAGACAAAATGAGAAGAAAATATTAAGGTGACGACGCAATCACACTCGATCGGTCGTTACATAAATTGGGTCTTTTCGTTGTTACCTACGATGGATTTAAATGATACGATACAATAGAATTTAAGTAATAATCAAAACAAACATTGTTTAAACTAACAATACAATATAACGGGTAGCAACCATCCAAACAAGATGTAATTTGTAAAGCTCATTGAGATAGGAAACTAATACTTGAACACCCTATTTCTCAGCATACTCTCCATAATTTACATGCATAGAATTGAAAGGTGAATTATAAATTAAAAATGTACTTATTGAACAACTATTGTCCCAATACGTTATTTCACTATCTTTTTAGTCCTGACTTGTATGTTAAGTATAGGATAGTTGTGAACGTTGATGAACCTTTAGTTTTACAGCTCATATTTTTCTTGAAGGAAATTTATTTACAGGCAAAGTAGCAATGGAATGATTTGGTCTTGAATAAAGTGAATGGTTATAGACGACTATAGCAGGCTGCAACTTTGTTATGTGTTGAGGCATAGTCAGTTGATGACATTAATTCTCGATTAATCTTCTGTTGTTAGCATGCGGGACATTGAAGCTTTTGTGCTGATTGTTGCAGGGTTTTATTTCATTCCTGGAGCATTACCCGTTGAGGAGCAATGCCGATGGATAAAGGAGAGTTTAACAAGCTTTCCTCAACCTCCTAACAGGACCAACCACAATGCAATTTATGGGCCTCTACAGGACTTATTTGCTGCTGCCAAGGATAATAAAGTTTTGATTCAAGAGGAGCAGTACTGTGGAACCAATAATTCTGAGGTGGAAATCATCCAGAACGACATAAATGTTCCCACATGGAATTTTTTTGATCAATCAGGTGCATTTTCCAAAGGAGGTACATGCAAATCAGTGCCAGCCTCTGTTTTGCTTCGTAAGTTACGGTGGAGCACCCTTGGCATGCAGTTTGACTGGTCGAAGGTCTTGCTGAATTTCTCCTCATAAAGTGCAGTATATTGTTCAAAGGTTCATTTACATGGCTTGTTGCCCATTTGCATACAGTCCTAGTGATGTGAGGATATTCAATATTTCTCATTTGTGCATCATAACACCCTTTTTAAAGTATTCATAGGAGTTGGGCTTATTTCATATGTGAACCAAACTAGTTATGTAGGCTTTGAATACCATCATGTGATTCTTATTATGGTACCATTTGTTTCTTCACTGCTGTTAAAACTCACTGGTACCAATGAAATAGGAATTGTACATTCCTTCCTTCTCAACTTGTTTCATGACCTTATCTAAGTCCACAAATTTTATTGTTATTTTAGCTAAGCACTGACGATATATTGTCTTTGAATAATTTGTTCATTGTGCACTAACATTAGTTTCTTGTGTCTATTCCTGCTGATGAGACTTTTTAGCAATTGTACACTCATCATTCCTTCCTTCTTCCGTACAGTATATTTTGTTCTCTTTTTATGTGCTTGATTTTATTTAACCTTGGACGTGTTTTCATAGTTTTTTATTTCCTTGATTAGTATCAATTCTGATTTATTTTTCCTGGCATTTGCTCAGCGGAGCTATAATATTTCTCTGCCTCACAACAAGATACCTGATGCACTTTGCCTGTTGGCTGAAAGAATGGCAGCACCTACCCTTCCATTAGGTGAAGTGTTCCAGGCAGAAGCAGCAATTGTCAATTACTTTGGTCTAGGTACCCGTTCTCAAATATTTGTCTTCTAGGTCTTAAGCATATGAATCTATACCTATACCAAGTGTATATGAAAAGGAGCCATTACAGTTGACTTCTTATTTGCTAATTCTAGTTTTCTCTACTCCTTTAAGGTGACACACTTGGTGGCCACCTTGATGACATGGAGAAGGATTGGAGTAAGCCTATTGTTAGCATGAGGTATGTGCTGATTTTTTACAGCTCTTTCTACTTGAATTAAGTTCAAACTTTGATATGTAGGAAACGTTACCAAGGGCTGAAGTGTTCTTTTTTCTCTGTAGCTTGGGCTGTAAAGGCATTTTCCTTATAGGGGGAAAGTCTAGGGAGGTTCCACCTCTTGCAATGTTTGTTCGAAGTGGTGATGTTATTCTTATGGCAGGACAAGCAAGGGAATGCTTCCATGGTTAGTTGACTACTTATGTTTTAGTTTTCTGTTAGTGGTATGCTAGAAGTAGGTGATGATTATCGTAGGAATATTGGGCATCTACATGTAGTTGACAGAAATTTGGAGGTCGTAAAACTTTTTAAATCATTCTTGGTCTACTGGTAGAAGTATTTTACATTATTCAGCTGATTTTACTTGGAATAAATGGTCTTGTTCCCATTTTTTGATGATCTAGGATGGTCACACATGAACTACTTGAAGAACTAGCTTATGCTGAGGTTTAGCATTCTTAGGTACCAAAATAAATTAAGAAAATAAAAGGCCAAGACTATTCTTTTTTCATTTTCAAGTTCATCTACAGAAGGCTCAAATAATTAGTGATCTTATGCCATTCTGAGACTGGGCTCAGAGCATATTTTGATGGCAAATGGGTGTTTGGGTGGTTAGTGGTTTGATTGCCACTGATAGTAGCTGGAGGAAGCTGTTGAAAAGATTATTTTTTTCGAGTAAATCCCTTTTACCTTTTGGGTTTGGGAAAAATACCTCCACCATTTGAATGAGACAATAACCCCCCCCCCCCCCCCCCCACACACACACACACACTCAGCGGTCTTAAATTTAGCAGTTGAGAAAAGCTGTAAAGAAGAGACTGATTCGCAGTGATAAATCTCTATTTGTTGTGTATATTTCTGTACAAGAGATGGTGTATTTATACAGGCTAAAACTCGGAAGGCAATCCATAATCTAACAAACTCTCTAACTGACTGAATAAATAAAATGCAGAAAGAAAAATATATACAAGTTACAAATACTATTCTGCCCTCAGTACAATGTTCTAGAATAGAATAGTATCCCTAACAGGTGTCTTGTTGTTCAAATCAAGTGAATCCACTTTTTCCAATATGTGCTTGAGACTCTATTGGAGGTGGGGATTTTCCGGCAACAACGGTCAAGATGTTTTCTTCCATACCAAACATACCCTAAGTCTACTTTATAGCATTTACTTAATCGTTCTTGGATCTGAAGCTAAGAACACTCAAACATCACTGGTACACATCCCTCTTCTCGGTGTGGAACGATATACGAGAAATAGATGCTCAGCCTGCAATGTCCGATAACGACGCCCGTGAAAACGAACATATCGGAGATCCACTGCTCCATATGACTTTCTTTGCTTACTTTTTTTCTTGTTGAGAAACCGTCAGATACATATGACTTTCTTTGCTTAATTTATTATCTTTATCTCATTTCTTACTTACATACACGAACACATTTGACTACTAATAATCGAGCTATTAAATCATGACACATGTCCTTGACCTCATACAAATTCAACTATGCCAATTTCCTGGCAAATAGACAATTATATTTGAACACTGGCAAGAAATCATCCTATAAATGTTTCTATCAATATCCTAGATGAGAAATTTAGCTACTCATAATTTTACTCAAAAACGCAATACTAAAATTCATAAACAACAAGAAATAATGGGAGAAATAGGAAACTCGTTTCTTAATATCGTTAGCCCTTGCTTCTGGTGTGGTTCTTGCCCTCCAAAATAGTGTCCCCTCAAAAGACGTTTCTTGGGGTTTATATATGGCCTAGGGTGTGTAAGAGGTCGCTCATGCCAATAAAAACTCGGCTCATGCAAATCAAAACTATGGTATCAAAAATTGAGATGCTCATCAAGGGACTTCACAGTGTGAGGGGGGTTGATGAGCTCCTCCTCAACAAAATTTCAGGTTTGGTTGCGATGGGGCTCGCGACACCCCTTGATTCAGTGCTTTGAAATTGGCCAACTTCCCTGGCTCGTTGTCACGACCCAAAGTATACCCCGGGCGTAACATGGCGTATAGAACCACAAAAGGCCCTACACAAGTCACTTAGCATACATCATACAAGATAATAGAAATAAAGATTTCAAGAAAAAAGTCTTAATTCATTTAAAGAGTTTGACAAAAGTGGAAGTCTAACATAAGTAGGGGTGTGCAAAAACCGATTTAACCAATAAACCGAACCGAAAAAAACACTATTGGTTTATTGATATTGGGTTATTGGGCTAACGGTTTTTAAATGGTTTTGCAAAAATTTTTATTGGATTATTGGTTCGGTTTCCGGTTTTATAATTTTTGTTAATGGTTAAACCGATAACCCAATAAGACTATACTAAATTTACTAGTCTTATTGTTAATGGTTAAACGATTGTTACTTTCACACTTTTTGTTAATGGTTAAAACGATTTTTACTTTCACACTTTTTCCTTTGAATGTGTTTAGTGTCTAAACTTGCAAGAAAAATGATTGTTACTTTTATGATTATTACTTTCATGCCAAATGCTGGAAAAATCATATGGTTTATTTGAAAATTTTCTTATCGTGTATATAATATATATGAGCATTTTCTTATTGGTTAAACCGAAAACCGAACCGTTAAGTACCATAAACCGATTAACCAAAAACCGATAAGAAATATGTTATTGGTTTGATTATCGGTTTGAAGTATTTACAAACCGAAAACCGATAAACCGAACCAATAACACCTAAAACCGAACCGAACCGACCGATGCGCACCCCTAAACATAAGTCTCAATAAGCTATCTATTACTACAAGGAAGTGATTGGGACGTAACTCATACATCACATACAAGTTTGAAAATTGAAATAAAGAAAGCAATAAAAGTGTCTCGGTCCTCGAAACATGAGGACTCACCAATCCTTGAGTGCCAAAGATCAACTAGCCACGAGTGTGAGAGGTAGGAGCGTCTGGCCTACATTAGTGAAACAATGTAGGCACAAGTATGCATTAGTACATGGAACGTACTAAGTATGATAGCAATGCATAAAAGTTATGAAATCATGCTAAAAAGGACTTATGACATGCAATGACCAAGCTAAATCAGAAGATAAGAAGGGTTAGAAAACATAAATCATGATCATGGTCAATGCAAGCTAAAGATCTTTAAATCACTATGAAGATACTTTAAAAGTAACCTTAGTTCATATTATGGGAAGTTTACCATGTAACCGACATAGACCATGTGAGCTATAACATGGAATCCAGTGTCTACCCCATATCGAGAAGGGGTGCCCTTACTTGCCAAGGTAAGAACCATAAATCTGAGCTAAAGTGGATCCACTAGCTAATGTCTATCTAAGACAATCATCCTATGGTGGCACATAGTTATGGGATGAGCAGATTGCTACTAGAGACCCGGCCTCTACTAATGGGAAAGCCTCCATCTCAATATCCTTTCGGTGCTAAGCAAAAATCCTACGGAATAGTCATCAATCTTATTCATTTCATCATCCATGGAAGGACACAATTTAGCAACTAATCCAAGCTAAAGTTCATTTAGAAGAGCTCCTTAATCTCGATTCAACTTAGGTGAGTAAACCTTTCAACCTTATTAATCATTTTGTGAGAAACCCTTTTAGAACAACAGCATTGATGTTTTACTCTCAAAATATCCTTAAATCATTTATATTAATTTCATAAAAGAACATGCATATCTTCATAAATTCATCTTTCATAGTTCATAATCTTCATCATATGATTATAGTCTAAAAATCATGGATCATGCATGGGTTCATATGAATTCAACTTTGTTAGAATAGGAATAGGTTTATACAATCCTATTAGAATAGGAATAGGTTTATACAATCCTATTAGAATAGGAATAGGTTTATACAATCCTATTAGAATAAGAATAAGTTTATACAATCCTATTAGGATAGGAATAGGAATAGAAATAGAAATAGGAATACTAAATAGTATCCTACTTGGTAAAGGATTGTATTCTAGGGTCTATAAATAGGGTCTCAATGTAATAATGTAAACAACAACAATTCAATAATATTCTTTTCCTATATTTCTCACATGATATCAGAGCCTCTACGATCTTGGTAAACGATCAAAGTGATTCCGCTGCCGGCGGGCGGCTATTACTCATATATGCCGCCCGTCTGGCCAACAATTATGTTAGCAAAAGTTGGGTCACCATGTATCTTTCCGGTGACTATTTTCTCATATTTGATTTATTTAAGCACTGTGTCATCATTCCGGTGACTACTTTCTTATATCTAACTTGTAGCACCGTGCCATCTTTTCAGTGACTACTTTTTTATATCTAATTTGTGTAGCACCGTGCCATCATTCCGGTGACTACTTTTTCATATTTAATTTTTGTAGCACCGTGTCATCATTCCGGTGACTACTTTTTCATATTTAATTTGTGTAGCACTGTGCCATCATTCCAGTGACTACTTTTTCATATATAATTTGTGTAGCACCGTGACATCCTTCCGGTGACTACCTTTTTTTGCATATCTTATTTGCGTAGCACCGTGCATCTCTCCGGACTACTTTTCATAATTAATTTGTGTAGTACCGTGGATTTTACCGAACTACTTTCTCATATCTGAGTTGCATAGCATCATGTCTTTTTAGTGACTCCTCAGATTTGATTTGCATAGTTCCATTCGTCTTTCCGGTGACTCCCCAAATTTGATTTGCGTAGGGTTGTGCCATCATTCCAACCATACCTATATAATTTCTCTTTTTCATTAGGGTTGTGCCATCATTCTGACCCTACCCATATTATTTCTCTTTTTCAATGGGGGTCATTCCATCAATTCGAACTATCCTATATAATTTCTATTTTCTAGTTGGGTCGTGACATCATTCCAACCCTAGCCATATAATTTTATTTCTTAGATTGTGACCACTTTTATCCATCAAATCAATACTCCGGCATATAAGCATGTTCCGGCCAATTTTTCGGTGACTTTCTTGTTAAATATTGACACGTCTATTGATTCCAACATGATCCATACACTTTATACTAGATTTTGAGCACTTCCGGCGACCGTTGCATTGTGAAGAAGTCTATATGGAGCAACCACCTAATTTGTTGCTCAGGGGGAGTTTAGTAGCCTTGTATGTTGATTACGTAAGTCACTCTATGGTCTGAAATAGTTTTTGCAAGCTTGGTTTGGGAAGTTCAACACTGTAATTTTATCACTCTCTGTTTTATCGGCATTATGCATCAAATTCAGTATTTCATGAGAAGACCAAGCCCATTGAGATTGATTGTCAAATTTGTGAAGTCGAGTGATCAACTTGCAGATATCTCACCAAGCCCCTCATCGGTCCTCATGTTAATTACATTTGTAACAAGCTAGGTACATGAATTGTATGCACTAGCTTGAGGGGGAGTGTTAGAATAGGAATAGGTTTATACAATCCTATTAGAATAGGAATAGGTTTATACAATCCTATTAGAATAAGAATAAGTTTATACAATCCTATTAGAATAGGAATAGGAATAGAAATAGAAATAGGAATACTAAATAGTATCCTACTTGGTAAAGGATTGTATTCTAGGGTCTATAAATAGGGTCTCAATGTAATAATGTAAACAACAACAATTCAATAATATTCTTTTCCTATATTTCTCACAAACTTAAAATCATGTAATTACTTCAATTCATGCATAAAAAGATAGAAAACAATTAATTGAATCATGATTGATAAGAACCCATGAAGATTGGATAAAATCCTAACTTTCATTTAGAATCTAACTTTAAAATTGGAGAATTTAGGAACCCTATGGAGGAAAGGACTCCATAGGTGAATACTAACATACCTTAGTAATCAATGCCCACAATCTATGGTGGATTGGAGTTCTTCAAGCCAAACCCTAGCTTTCTCCTTCCTTAGCTTTTGAGAGGAAATTTAGGGGTGATCTTGGAGGGAATTTAGGAGAATGGCTAGTTTTTAGGCTTAAAGGACTTATATAGGGCTTAGGATAAGGATCAAAACAACCTAGTTTAGACACTAATCACTTAGAGAAAAGACCTAAAATCCTATAAAATAACTGCCAACCCCTTCTTACGGTTTGGACCTACGGTCCGTAGGACTTTCTACGGACCGTACTGGTCAACCCTAGAAAAGTTCAGAAACTTATAAAATTGGACCAACTTTGACGAGTCTGGTCTACGGCTCGTAGAACCTTCTACAGTCTGTAGACCCCAACTGTTGAACTCAACTTGACCCTCAAAATTTCACCAAGTCTGGGACCCACCTATGAGACCTATCTACGACTTGTACAAAGGTTGACGGGCCATCCTGGTCAACCGTCGAATGTCGAATGAGGTACTGAAACCTTATTTTTCCCAAAACTCTACCGTAGGTCTACGATTCCCTATCTACGGCCCGTAGGACTTCCTACGGTCCATAGGTTGGACTCGTAAAATCAGTCTCAGACAAATTTGCTGCATTATCCTTTTCCTTTCGACTTTCCAACTTCCGAGGTGTTACACTAATCTTCCGAAGCCGTGACATGAGCAGGTGGGGTGCCCTCAACCTTCTTCAGTTCTTAGTTTTCTTGACTCGACTTGCACTAAATCATCCCTTCCTGCCCGCTTTCGTCCAAAGCTCTTCCTACACATATAATACGTAATGGGCTCAAAATCCCCCACCAAAAATGTAATCTGCGCAAGTATGTACAAGATATGAGGTAATAATCAATGTAATATAAGCTTAAGCTTTGAGCCAAATATCAATATGTAAACAACTTTGGTCCAATTGTTATTTTGGGTAGTAGCTCAGAATGGGGCTAAACGACTTTGGTGCATTTGCTATTTTGGGTAATTACTTATATCTGGGGCTAAAATGTGTTCTTTATGTTTCCTAATAGCCAGACCATGTAAGAATCCCAATACCATTTCAAGTTAAAGCTGAAACAACGAAATATGTATTGATAATGGGCCCTTAGTTTCTTTTTTTTACATTGGAAATGCTAAACATTTTTCTGAAAATGTAACACTTTTCGACGACCCTACTGTCAAAAAATCAAAATATTTTTCAACACATCGAGCTTTCTACGGCCTGTTTGTCGAAAAGGTAAAATAATGTATCAGATATTTTAATTTTTTGACGGATCACCATCGAAAGAAAAAATAAATAAATTCTAATATACCGACAATAAGGTCAACGAAAATCTTTTGGTACAGAAGGTCATTGGAAAGTGTTAAATCGTCAGGTTTTTTATACACAGAGGTTATTGAGAAATGCCATTGAAAAGTATCAACTAAATCTTACTCTCATTGAAGATTCATTTCTACAAGCTGGTTTCTATCTCTGTATTTTTGATGACTTCCTCTGTCAGAACTCTAGCAGTGTGCTTTTTGAGTTTAACAAGGGAGTAAAATGCCTTAAGTTAATGATATAAGATTACTCTATTGGATGTGGCAAGTAGGCACTGTGATTTTTATATGTAGTATAATTGCTTACTGGAAGTTCTCATTGCTTAGTGTTGCTAAAAAATATAATTTTGTTTAAAACGAGGGGGTGATTTTCAATTTTCCAAGGGATTATTGAAGCAATGAGCTTTCGGAAAGTGTGCTCGAAAGAATGACTAGCAAAGTGATTCAATAGAGAACTGGTCGATTCATTGAATCTTTTCGCTTTTGAAAACATTGTCAGGGTTATATGTTTTGTTTCCCATTTGACCTTTATAGAAGCCATATTGTTTCGGTTTGTCGGGAGGTGTGCTGGAAATGAGGAAAAAAAAATGCCAAAACCCTTTATACTTTTTGAAATGCACTGTTGATGGTTGTGCTTTGCAGGTGTCCCTAGGATCTTCACTGATAAAGAAAATGCTGAGATATCCTCCCTTGAATTGCTGTTTTCTGATGAAGAGGATTCTGCTTTGTTGGAGTACATTAAGACTTCTAGAATCAATATCAACATTAGACAAGTATTCTAGACTGAGTTCTCTTTTGAAAGTTTTGTAGAGATGTAATAGGAAGTAACATTACATTGCATAAACATGAGAAAATGTTTTCCTCTGTACCAATTTACACCCAAAATTTTGCAAAGAATTCTCTCATATTTGTGGATATGCTGCCTGCTTTGTTGAGATTTAAAACCTACCCCGACAGCCACACTCGTCATTTGCATTTTCAGTTTACTTGTTCTCTTAACGGTTAATCCATTGGATCTCTGATTGTAACATGAAAGGTCGTGTAGCATGTGAGGGTAGAAAATGTAGTTCCTGAAAAAGAGATTCAAATTTGTGGATAAAGCTTGCTCATATGGTTTAGTCTAATAGTGTAGAGAGTTCAATCCTAAAACATATAATAAGATAATTATAACAATCATACTGATGGTTTGTCCAAATTCTCATCTTAGATTGTGAACAAAAACTTTGGTGATTTAACCCTCTGTGGATAAGCTAAAACTCTAAACACTAAATCATGAAGTAAACAAAAACTCTATACATTAAATCATCATCTTCTATAGAAGTACAAATATATGATGTATTAAAATTGAATAAACAATTATTTATACCTAACACATGGTTAATAGTATACATCCCCTGGGGTGAGTTGTATTATAATAGCCAAAAATGTGTAGAGAAGTGATGAGGCGAATTGCAGACACCATATATAATTGGAATTGGAATCAGCTGTCAGAAGGCGGCAGCTGTTGTGTAGTAACTCGGAGCGTCCCACCTAATTCAGTGGGAAGAAGGGGGATTAAGGAATGTAATACATCGGTTATTAGGGGACGATAGCTTGGCTCTGGCTGAACACATAACACAGCAACTGCAGCAACCTACACATTACCACCCTTCAGTCTCAATTTCAGAGCTCTGAAAATAACAAGTTTTCAGCTAATATTGAACCCTAAATGAAATCCAACATTAAGTATGATAAACCTGATACAAATGCTTTAAATCCATTGTATTTTGTATGACAGGATCCACAATGTTTGGAAGCTTTGATCTATCTGTCAGCTGAGGCATGGCCTACAATTCCATAAATACTTTTAGACAAGTTCTATTTTCAAAACATAAATTAAAATAGATCTCAAACCATTACTTACCCATGTGACTATAGACTGGCATTCAGTTGGTTCCTCTTTTTCTACAGGCCTTCTTCCCAATAACAGCTCCAAAAGTACGACTCCAAAAGCATAAACATCACTTTTATCACTTAATTTTCCTATAAAACAAAGAAAGAAATTCCCAACTCTTTCACATTGATTTGAGAGACAGAAGAAAATGAAAATCAAAGTGGCACTATTTTAAAAGGATCTCAATTGGTTAAAGTAGTTATAATTATACCTTCTTGTTTTTGACAAAGAGAGAAGTATCGAAAACACCTCTAAACTTGGCGGAAATTATTAGTTTCATCCTCGAACTATTGACAGCCTTAAAAATACTTTTTTACTTGACTAACTGAACTTAAATACAACCCGATCTTGCAACATGAGTGAAATACACCCCTAAATTTTTGCCAAGCTTACGATATTTTCAACACTTCTCTCAACTTTTTATTAAGAGTTTCATGCTCCTACACGAGTTTGAGACACTTGCAATGTCATGTGGCAAATCAAGGGGGATCAGGGGTGGGGTGTATTTTAAGTTTAGTTAGTCATGTAGAAGGATGTTTTTAAGGCTGTCAATGGTTTGAGGACGAAACTAATAATTTGCATGAAGTTCAAAGTGTTTTCAATACTTGTCTTTTTACCACTCTTTCAACCTTTTGTTGAAAAGTGATTGTAATTTCTATAGAAAAAGGAAATGATAGGATTTGTAGAGTAAGTAAAAGCTGAGAGAGAGTTGATAATACATACCATCTAACATGTATTCAGGGGCTACATAACCTAAAGTTCCAGAAAGCTTGATATTATTTTTGTTTTGAGCCCCACCCAACACAGCAAGACCAAAATCTGACAGCTAAAATTAAACACAACACACCATTAATAGAGGGAAAACTAGTACTAGTATAATTTTTATATAAAGTTTTACCTTTGCATTGAAGTTGGAATCTAAAAGAATATTAGATGATTTCAGATCTCTATGGATCACTGGGGGATGGCACTGCTCATGTAAATACTCTATTCCTCTGCTCAAACAGTTATGTTAATATCATCAAATGTCAATCATTCAAATTACTCCTAATAAACTAACTAGTCTACCTTGCTGCATCAAGGGCAATTTTTATTCTGCGGTGCCACGTTAATGCTGATCCACGGGAAGGCCCTATCAAATCAAGAAAATGAAAACTAGTAGAGTAATTAATTTTCATGAGTTAATTCAAATTTATTAATTACCATGTAATTGAGTTTCTAGTGATCCATTGTGCATGAGTTCATACACAAGCAATCTTGTTTCACTGTGGATGCAATATCCCAACAATGAAATAATATTGAGATGTTGCATTTGACTCAGCAACTCTACCTCAGTCTGCAAATAACAATTACTTAATATTTTTGTGAGAAAGAAAGAGTAACAAGTTATAAATTGTTTGATAATGATGGTAGCTACCTCGAATTCTTTAATGGAATTTTGGGTTAGTTTCTTGACTGCTACATACAAATTGTCTTCCAATTTAGCTTTGTATACACATCCGAAACCCCCTTCACCTAAAATCTCAGTTTCTTGAAATTTGTTGGTGGCTGATTCAAGTATGTTGTAGTCCATTAAAGAAACCAATGTTTTCCTGGACTTGGAAAAATTTAATTTACACATCCCCTTCACAACATCTTCAGAATCAAAAATCATCATTAATTTAAACATAGGAGTATTATATAATTATAATTGTGTGAAGAACTGTATGTATGTAGTAGGTACCTGAGGTGTGAAATCTTTTTGTGTGATAAATCCAGAATAAAATGATTAGTCCCAATGCAGTAGAAGCTACAATGAGTGCTATCAACAGCCTTCTATTTTGATCCATAGGGTGGGTGTGTGCTTCTTCTCACTTCTCAATTCCCACTCCAACCTCTGAATAAATAAATAAATATATAAGTCAAAAGTATAAAATTGAGGACTAAAATGGGTTTGATTAAACAAGGGTGGGTCCATAATTTATGTTTTGCATCAAACCAGAACAAACAGATAATTGGGTCCACCAGAAACAAGATAAAATTTATTTTATTCTTTCTTCTTCACTCCACTCTATAAAATTTGAACAAGGATAGACCATTATCTTTTTGAAAAGATAACTGTTTCAGTCTTGGTCTGGAGCCCAACAAAAAATAATACTTGCTCCTTATTTGCTCCATATTAATTACTTGATCATTTATTATAGAATTAATTAGTATTTTTTTTTCATTTTATCCGTATAACAATTAATATACAAATTTTGAAGATATCAGAATTTCTTTTTTCAAAAACTAATTAATATGAATTAAGGATAAAATAGTAAAGTTGATCGATAAGAATGATTGCACATCCGCAAATGAGTCTCTAGTGGGTTTTGAACCCACATACTCTGAAAAGAAGGCACTCGTTGGGCAATCAACCATCTACCTATTTATTATGGTGGGTTCGTAGACAATAATTATATATTTTTGTATTTGATAGTTTAATATGAATATAAAATTTATATACAAGTCCGCTATCCGCTCGCGATAGACAATTTATGATGTTTGTTAGGATTTAAACAAGGAAATTGAATTTATTTTGTTTTGTGTCTGATGGCCTAATGGTGTGCGTAGAAAATTGGGACCACAAGGCCAAAAGATAAAAATCTCATCTTTGGGATATGAAAATATCACAAAAGTTTCTCTTATGATGATGATAAAAAGGAGTTCTTAAAAGTTCATTGAACTATAAGAATTTATCTAGTAAAGTCATTAAATTTTGTTTTATATCAATAAAATCACTTAACTTAAGATATTTATTTACAAAAATCATCCAACTACATTTATTATTAAAATCAATTTAATATAACAAATTAAATAATTTTTTAGGCCATGTAAACATGAACCCCATAAATAAATAATTTTTTAAAAAGCCATTTTATCCTATTTACCAATGATTCAGTTCTTTGTTTCCAGTTACAAATGAAAAAAAATAAAATTTGGGTGTAAAATTCATATTCCACTATCACATTGCAACCAGCTAGCAACATAAATGTAATGAAATTCTATAAATCACATCAAGGAATTGAAAATAAAAACTACACGTTATTACTCATTAATTGTTTTGGGTTATACACTATATTACTCATTTGTTTATATTATAATTAAATTAATATGTTTGTATATGGAGACTGGAGTATCTAATCAAAGTAATCAATAGATGATTACTTTAGCCAAAAAAAACGTTTACGAACAGTGGCGCAAAATGTAGAAAATGAATATTGAAGCAACGTGGATATGATGCAGGCTTTATGTGTTGCGAGTTGAAAATATAAAATTTCAATTTGTGAAATTCATATTTACATGGCATATAAAATAATTTTATTTGTTATGACAAATTTATTTTGATAATAAATTAGAAAAAAAAAACATAATGTGTTTTTGATCATTTATTACGTCTTGTTAAATTTATTTAATGATAAATGTTATTGAGTAATTTTTGAAGATAAAAGCTTTAAGTTGAGTGATTTTATTGATATAAAATGAAGTTCAATGACTTTACTTGATAAATTCTCATAGTTCAATGACTTTTTAAGATATTAACTTTGATAAAAAGACAAGCAAAAAATCAATCTTTTCTATCCTTCATAATCGCCTACTTTTTCTATTTATAATTCTGTTTGCTTTTCTTTAACGTGGGTATATATATTCTGATTTTACATACACAACTGATCATGACTCTAAAAGAAAAATGACATATCCTTATCACTCACTCTATCATATTAAAAATGACATATCCTTATCACTCACTCTATATATTTATAAAAGGGATTTGAACTTTAACTTGTCAAATGTTATCATATTAAAGGGATGGAAAAAGTGAACAAGTAAGCATCCAATAAAGCACAAAAAGTAGTGTACCTATGCTATAGCATATGTTTAGTTTGTCTCCACAAAACTAAGCAATATAATGCAACACTTATAAATTATGCTTTTCGAAAAGCAAGCAATTAGGAGACTCTCACTTACCTACAAATTAAATGCTTCTTCTCTACTCCCTCCATATATATATATATATATATATATATATATATATATATATATATATATAATAGTCTTAAATAGACACACTATTAATAAAGGGCATTTTTGTTTATTTCATATAATAAAGTTTTTTGAGTTTATCAAGTAATGATTTTGTGATAGTGTGTATGTACATGAAAGTGAGAGATAAAATTAGTTATTTAGGCAAGGATTAGAAGGGGAATAGGTGGATTCATAAATCATAAACATAATGAAAGAGAAATTAACCGATGGAGTAAAATGAAATCAACCAATTTGTACGAAATTATAATCAAAATGATATATACCATGCAGATGAGTTTAGAGATCATGTATGAAAACATAGTAATCAATCAAAATGATGCATGGATGTGGTGCCACAATAAGTAGTGATGAGTTAATTGTTTAAATTACAACAGCTTCTTAAACCCATTAATTACAAGTAGAAAGCATAGAGAGAGATATTTTAAGTTTTGAGAATGGAGAGGTAATGGTAGTATCCTTTTGTTTGACAAATTAAATTAAAACAAAAGGAGAAGAAGAAGAGAGATACCTGAAATTACAACATGGTTACTGAAACCCTTCTTTAGTTCCAACTATAAACAAAGACAAACACAAAATAATTTATTTCCCCAAATTGATAACTTTTATCCTTTAAATTTCTTGCACCATTCCCACACTTACCTTCTAAATTTTGTGGAGTAAAAATTTTCAAAAATAAGAAAGGCTTATAAATTTTGTGGTCTAAAACACACTTTAAAGTTAGTGTGACTATAATTTTATTAATGGTAAATGGAGAATATTAAAGTTGATTTATTAGAGAATTATAATATATATATATATATTATTTTTTTTTTTTTTTTTTTTATGACTGATTAAAAATAAAAATGTATTATTAGATATAAAATAGTAGTAACTTTTAACAAATTTAAAGGAGTAAAACGATTAGGATTAAGACTGTTTCAAACTTATCCGAAATAGAAGGGGACCATTTTTGTTAGTAAGTCTATCTAATTCACCTACCAAATCTTACCTGTCTTTCAACCCAATCTTCTTCTTTTTACATTTTAAAATTGAGTTTTTTTTTTCAATTAAATTTAAATTTTCATTAGAAAGTTTAATATTGAAGGGTAAAAATATAGGTGACTCTCTATTCAGAAATAAGAGGGACACGAATCCGAGAGTTCTGATTAAAGATAAAGAAGTACTTATCAGTTACCACTCCATCACTCGGTAAAAATTGAGTTGTACTTTCTCATGCCATTAATGTCCACACTCCACACTCAATTCATTCATCTTGATGCCACTCATATCATATCGTTAAATCGATATGTATTTACACCCACAACAATTACCATGAGATACATAATATTTCTTGATAATGAATAAATTTCAATAGAGATTGATTTCCTTTTCAATTAAGTTGCATTCAATTTGAAAATATTGAATTATTTTGTTATTCGCTTCTTATATTTATTTAAATTTCAAATTAAATAATTTTAATGGTCGACGTAAAACTTTGAATTGCTAATCTCTAATCTATCTTTATGAATGCATGGCATAAGGGAACTTGTTTTATCCACTTTAAATCTCAAATATATTAAAGAGTAATCTATGGAGCAAATTGAATTTAGTCTCATGTATGCCTGCAACATTGTGGTTTGAGAGACTAGAAACATGGCTACACTTAATTTCTTACTTATAAGTGTAGCCATTAATAGGTATTTTTACTTATATAATTTTATAAAAAGGTGTAGATATTTTACTTATAAGGTAGATCAACTTCAATGACAACATAGTTTAATGTACGGACAAAATAAAAGAAGCCATATAAAAGCAGACAGTCACATGTTAGGTAGAGTATAGGTTCATCTATATGCACTAAAAAATTATTAAAGGAACTTCTTTAAAAAAAAAATCTAAAAATGGCCAAAGGTTTTATTATTAAAACCAAAAATGGTCATAAATGTCCTTAAATTATAGTATAAAATTAAACAAAAATATTGTGCGTCAATATTTTGATTCGAAAATACTCTTGATGTCAATATTTTGACCTAAAAAAGCTCCTATTATTACTTTTGGGTAAAAAAATGCCCGTTCCCTAATTAACATAGCATTTTTTTTCTTTTTAAACACATTTTCCTAATAAAATATTGCTCTTAAAAGAACTTTTTTTTCTTTTAAAATCCCTTTTACTAATATAAATTGGAAACTAATTTTTTCTATTCTTAGAATTACCTCATATACTTTTTAAACTGATATTATAGGTTTAAATCGAGTAGACAAGTGGCGATTATCCATGTCCCGTATAACACCCTGTACATTTCAACATTATACGACTAAGTTAATATTGATGAAAGTCTTTAAACTCGAGAAGTAAGGTGGTTATTAAGCTTAAATTTTAGAGTTGAGTGTTAAGTTTAAATTAAAAGATTAGAATTTGGAAAATGAGATAAAATAAGTGAGGTGCTTGCTCGGCTAAATTAACCTAGCAGGTGACAAGTAGGTGCATCACCTACTTAGACTTTTTGACCAACTTAATAAGAGTAAGTAGCTGCATCACCTGCCATAGCTAAATAGATTTAATAAGAAGAAGTAGTTGCATCACCTAGTTTGACATTTGAGCAGCTTAAAAATGGCCAAGTAGGTGGATCACATACTTGGCAATTTGTGGACAAAAATGAAGAAGATAGAGGCGGTGGAGTGCCAGCAATTATAGGGTCATATTTGGCTCATTTATGTCGTAGTTCTTGCATAGAAAAAAATGAATTTATCTCCAGCACTCTCTCTTTCCCTCAATGATTATCACAACCACCTCAAAAATACTCCATGGGTTCTTGAAGAAACCCTC